GGTGGCTAGAGGGCAGCAGGAAGGGGGAAATCAGAACCAACGCATCACGAAGGCAACGAACAAGGATGGGTACGTGGCAATCAAACGGACGAAAACAAGAAAAAACACACACACAACGTCGCACGCGTGTCACACGGACTCACCTTTCTCGATGAACTCCGGCGGTGCCAGAAAGCCGTGGAAATTCCACACCTTCATGCCCGTGCGTGGGTCGATGAGGGCGATGTGTGGGAACCCGGTGGCGTTGTAACGGCGGCAGTACAGCTTCGCCTCCTCGGAGATAGACGGTTGCTGCCGCATCAAAACACAACAGAACGAGGTGGAAAACATCGTTTTTCAGACAAACATCGTTTTCAGACAGAGTCAAGAGTCAAAACACAACAGGACGAGGTGGAAAACATCGTTTTTCAGACAAACATCGTTTTCAGACAGAGTAAAGAGTCAAAACACAACAGGACGAGGTGGAAAACATCGTTTTCAGACAAACATCGTTGTCGGGCGGAGTAAAGAGAAAGTTGGACCCGTGTTCGTATCCTGCTGACTTGTGTTTGTGTGAGAGAGAGAGAGACAGAGATAGATAGAAAGAAAGACACAGAGAGAGAGGCAAAGAGAGAGAGACAGGCAGAGAGGGAGAGAGGCAGGAAGAGAGGGAGAGAGACAGAGAGAGACAGAGAGAGACAAACAAGACCGACAGGCAGTAGACTGTCGAAAAATCCGCCGCCAGCACACACGCCAGCTTGGAAGCCTCAGAGATACAAGTGCACAAAAGAAATCGACCCCCCAGAACAAAGACGATGACCAACAACACCAAACATTCATGGGAAGAACGTCTGCATTCGTGCCAACGAGACACATCAGAGGGTAGAACGACAAATGGCAGAAGAGACACGATAAATGGCGAAGGCTCGATGTCCACATATGCATCCATCCAATGGGCACGAGAACAAAGCGGATGTTAGGACGAATCCCTATAAAAAAAGTTGAGCTTTCAAGTTTCAGTAGTCTACGCAGCAAAATTGATTAAGCGAACACATGGGATAATAAAGTATTGAATCCGTGCTTTAGGGTTAGGGTTACAGGGATACGGTCTGCGTGCCCCCTTCCTGTTCTTTTTCTAGACACTCTTAAATCCTGCGTAGGCATTCCTCAAGTTGTCACCTGCCAGAATATGCAGTTGCACTCTATGATGTTCTGGACCATCTCATCCTTCCACACGTCCCTGTTCAGCCGGTGGCAGTCGAACTCGGCCTCCGTCTGGATGTTTACCAGCAGCCACTTCTTCTGCTGCTTCGCCGCCTGGGTTTCGTTTGGCATGCGACGACAAACAACGAAAGAGGATATGGCCGAGTATCAATGAAACAGCATCGGTCGGCGAAATTATCATCATCATCATCATCATCACCGGCAACGGCAATGGTGCGAACACATGGTGACCAATAACAAGAAGACAGTCAGTCGGGTATCAAAAACAGCAATCGATCGGCGAACCTATCGCAACAGAACAACAGCAGCAAACGATACAATCGGCTTCAAGAACAATGGCAGCCACAACAACGCCAACACCAGCAGCAAACGCCCCCACGCCAGCGTACCACCCGACACCTCCGTAATACCGCACACACCTGACGGGCGGCCTGGAAATCCCCCATAAACATGATGTCGGTAGGAGGGGAGAACATGCTCGCGAGCTTCTTCTGCTTCTCCGCAGCGGCCGGGTCAGAGGGCCTCTTGCCCTTTGCCGCGCTGGCGAAGGGATTTGAAGCCAGCACGGCCTTGATTCCATCCGAAACAAATTGTCATTTCGCGAAGCCCCCCCCCCCGCAAGCAGTTTCATCGAAACGCAGCGAAACGGAACAAACGGAAAAAAGGAACCAACCGAAACAAGATCGGAATGAGTCGGACAACAAGAACGTGGAAGGAGTGAGGGGCGAAAAAAAACAACAACGGGGCAACAAGAAGGGGAACAAACGGGCGGAGCAACAACAACAACAACCAGAGGGAAGTAAGTAGTAGGTGGCAACAGCGGCAGAGGACCCCCATACCTCATTTATATGCGGTCTAGCCTCGTGCTCGCTGCCTTACAGTTCGAGCCCAACAGCAGTACTCACGCCTGTTGGACGCGTGCACAAGGCCCCCCCACTTGACAACCTCTTGAGTTTGCCCGAGAGGCTCATTTCTTACATCCTCCGTGAGGAACCAACCCTGGCATGGGAATGAGAACTGAGCACCTGTTCATATACATTGCAGGTCAAACTTCATATATTTCTCTTTAGTTGCTTGATTGAGGCTCAAGTTCTTAAGCACTCGCTGGTGTCTTTCACGCGTGTAGCCACACAACGTGAGTCTTCATCTCACTACAAGCTACCTCTTTCCCCACTTGCTCTTGTCACAAAAAAAAAAACTTCAACCCATCCCTTCCCTTGGACTGCTGTGGCTATATCTCGAACGGGTTGTCTCTCTTGGTTGCTACGTACATTTCTTATACTTCCTAGAGAAAAATATACTGCTGTGCGTGTGTGCTTACTTTACCACCCCTCTTCCATCGTATGCATAGTACACGCCCTTTAACAACGCCCGTACGTGCCCGGCGCATCAACCGGCGCTATTCAGAAGGACGGCGCTTTTAGCGTACAGAATGAATTGGGGATTCAGTCTGCGCCCAGCCATTTGACCGGCGCTACACACGGACCACCGGCGCTCATCCAGCGGGGCGTTGTTATTGACACCCCCCCGCTGCAGGTTACGCACCTGTCGGTGCTCCTCCTGGAAGTCTCTGAATGGGATGTGCCCCTGGGCAGCGGCGCCACTCCACCTAGCGGCGGTGGCCATGCCTGACCAAAAAAGAAAAGAAGCCACGGAATGGATTGGAACACACGGCAGCAGAGACGGCAAGACAAGAGACGCCGAGTAAAGCCATAGTATCGGTGTTCCGCTTGGACCGTTCCAGAGCACGTTCCTCAGTTGGTTCGGCTAGGGTACAGCACCGAAGACCTAAGCACAGCGCGCTGGGGACTGCCTTCGCAACGAAATCAAGCTTTATCCGTGTTCGCACACGATGGCAGTCCGCACAACACCTAACGCCGCTACGGTATAGCTTGACAGTTCCCCCGCTTACCGCCGTACGGATGCCCGCCGTGAGACCGCGGATCTTCGACTAGCCGTTGCCTCTTGTAGGGGTCGGCGGGTCGGACGTAATCGGGGTCCCCTGGTTGGGGCCTGCACCCCCCCACCCCCCACCCCCATGAAATCAAACAACAGAAAACGTGGACGGGGATTAGGATGGGGGGCACGCAGGGGGGCTCAATTGTTGACTATGGTACCTTATAGCCTTTTTGTACGGAGGAGGAGGAGGAGGAGGAGGAGGAGGAGGAGGGGGGGGCACCGTAGTTTCATGCCCCAAGCAAGGACACTACCAACCTTCGGGCGTTCTTCACCCTTCTACTGCATGTTTACCGTACCAGCACCTGGAATGGTACATCTTTTCGTTCCGCGCGCGGAGGAGGGCGGGGGGGCGCCCGTGTGATGAGTGAAAAGACCCCGATTGCACCCAGTCTGCCGGCCGGAGAAGCAAAAAAACAAAGCCAAAAAATATGCCAACGTGCGGACGCGAGCCGCTCCATTCCTACGTACATTGAACCTTAGGTCCTATCCGACCGCAAGAAGGCATACCCCCATTCATTCCCCATTCACGTGTACCTAAACCAGACAAGCTCCCTTCCAAACAGCAGCCACCATGCGCTTAAAACAACAGGAAACAAAAAATGATGCAGCTTCTCGTCAAGTACTGAGGCCCTTTGTGTTAAAAAAAACGCCAACCTACCCTCCTGCCTCGCTTGGAAAAGCTGGCGTCGACAACGCCGCCCCCCCGCCTGCCGCCTCGCCGGTGCCCCCACCCCTTCCCCCCCCTCCTCCGGCCCCGCCTCCCGCGCCGCTATCCATGAACATGCTGACCGCGTTCTCTAAGGAGTAAGCGTTTGCCTGCGTTCGATGGAGGGCGGGAGTAGTAAGGGAATCAAGCCTTGCACAAAACAAAAAAAAAATGAAGGTCGAGAATCTGGTCTTGCCAAACTCAACTGATGTTTGTGGACCATATTGTTCTCGAGAGAGCGTGATAGAGTAGGCTGGGACTGCTACAAGCTCGTCACGCCATTCCTTCAGGATCTAAGCCGCTTGCAAGGGTTTGTCTGCATCGGTCCTGCAAAAAAACTATTTTCTGCGACAGACGGGTGGGGTTGGTTTGCGCCACTTAACACCGACACCAGCGACAACTATAGAAGTTATTCTTTTCCGACGGTGGTAAAAGACAAAGTATTTTGACACCCCTGCATCTACTCCAGTGGTGGGATCGGTGTGTACAAGTAATATCATGGTATCACCCGCTTGGCGGGTGCACAGCAGCCACTACTGCATGGGAGCCAGGTGCGAGGCTAGGTAGAGAATGTGATGGATCGTTGAGATAACGAAATTAACAACAAGCAGTGGGAGCTTCGCCGGCACCAGCATCAGCAGAGGCGATAGCAGCAGCAGCAGAGCAGCAGCAGCAGTGATGATGGCGACAACAAAAAGGCAGCACCAGCACACACTTTTAAAAAAAGCCAAGTCGAAAAGAAAAGCACAGCGACTTCGACGACGAGGACGAATGTCCCTCACCTCTAGCCAGTGGTTGGCGACGTCCTCCGAAGACACCCCGGTGACCGCGATAAATTGCGCCAGCTTCTCGTCATTCCCGTCACCCCCTCCAGCACCTTTGCCTCCCCCATCGCCGCCCTTTCCGCCGCCCCCCCCTCCTGCGCCCGAGTCCGCCATTGGCGTCGATTGCTCGCGCCCGCAGTAGGTAGTCGCGGGTGGTCGAAAAGGTCTTGTCTATACCAAATGTAGGGCGTCGATTTCTCACGCCAGTCTGGAGTGGGGGTCGTGTGCGTATCAAAGAAACACCCGTGAACGCAAGCCAGGATCTCAACAGTCCTCCCCTTTCTTCAGTGTGAACCACGGGGACCCGTCCCTGCGACGATCATTGCAACAAGGGGATCGGGGACGGGGGAGAAGAGGAAGGAGAAGGGATGCATCGGATTAGGGTACTTTGATGAAGACTCGGCCGTGCTGCCTTTTTCAGGCGTTGTCTGTGCAACACCACACACGAGCAGCGGTATACACGTAGTGAGCCAGCTTGAATCCCGAGCAGCATCGGCGTACACAGAAACCGTCGTGCTCGTTCCACCGAACATCCTACACCGAGGACCCTAACCTGTAACACCAACGCTCGTCCCTCGAGACTACACTTGCTTCATAATGCGTGTGATGCTGCGTTTTTCCTCCCTGCTGGTTATTGCGATGTGAGTGCTTGCGGTGTTTGTACCGACACGGCGGGAAGGGGGGAAGGACGGGGCGGACAGGGACTGCAGCTGTGTAGACAATGTAGTTTGCATTCGTGTTTTCACATACATATGCATACAGATATCACAAACGGTGGTCTGGTTGCTTATCGTCGACATGCACTTTCGCAACTGCAAAGCAGCAAACGTGGGTTGCTCATCGTCGACATGCACCTTCGAAACTGTACGTGTAGAATGCCAACGGCTGTAGCAAATGATGATACGTAGCCCTTCCTTCGGCGGCTTTCGGGGCTTGCATATACGCATCAAAACGAAATTCGAGACAGCAACGCTGATGGTCGCGGTGATTCTTGTGCCCTGGATATAGGCACACCTGTTGTTGAACTAACTGTTGGACACAACTTTAACTTTGGGGCAGGGCGTGCTCGGGAAGAGGCGTTATTTAGCGGCCGACTTTGGAGTACAGTAGTAAAATTTGCATGTGAGAAGGTCTCTTAGTCTATCGGTTTTCTCAAGAACTCGCCCAAAGTCAGCTTATCTCAGCTCTTCCCCACGGTTGCACGAGTCCGAAAGATCAACTATATCTCTCAACCCAAGGGCTTCACGTGTTATCGTCTACTCCCACTGCTGTTGCCGCTGTTCTCGAACAGCAGCGAGGTGTGCTGCAACTCTGTTTTCTCCCGTCAGCAGCGAAGTTTAAAAAAACTGAGCGTGAAAATCGTCGTTTCTGTGCCTATCCACCTCATCCACAACCCCTCAACTCACGGCTGCAGTGGTTCGAAGAGCTGCAAGCCAGATCAGGGCACGAAAGTCGCTGCGAACCGCACTCACCCTTTGCCAAGCTCGCCGTGTGGTGCTCCAACAAGTCTCGGTGTCTGGCTCGTTTCTCGTTTCTGGTACTGTACGTCCTTCCTTCGCGGAGCCCCCGCCCTACCTAGCAGGACATTTTCGTTCACGGAGCCCCCTCCCTAGCGGCATTGGTCTGTGTGTGTAACAGAGGAGCATCGGGAGAGATACAGGATAGGATAAGGCAAAGACAGCGACAGAAAGAGAGAGAGGGAAAACGATGGGTGAGGATGAACCAAAATCGGAGCCTAATGAGGCTGTCAAGGAGGCTGTCAAGGAAGCTGTCAAGGAGGCTCTCAAGGTATGTCCATCGGAAGTGTCGGCGGGGGGGGGATTCTGGCGAAAAGTTCGAAAATGAAGTATGCGTACGTCGTTGCACACCGGCGGTAGCAGCAGCCTGTGTGCCTTTAGCAGTACAGACCCACCTGTGTTGTACAGCAGAGCTTTGTAGAAACTACAGCTGTACTTCGCAATGGTGGTCCTGCGAACGAGGGCAGGTATGTAATGCGCCCAAAATTACGTAAAAGTCGGTGTTCACAGCTGAAGCAACTGCTGGACATGTCAGTAGGTACCAACAGACGACGACGTCAACAGCTGCAGCACACGTCTGTGTCGCGGCGGGATAATGTAACAGCCCAGGGAGTGCGGTTATTACAACAACGCGATGGGAATACCGCCGGCGCTTGGGGGTTCGAAACCGACAAAACGGTGGTGTTGTTGCGTCCGCCAACGTACTCTACTGCTGTAGGGAGGACGAGAAGCTCTATACATGTGCTCCACCGGTGCGGTGCTGCGGTTATGGGGAGGGATATCTGCTGTTTAGCAGCGGTGGTGTTGCCGCACCAAGTCACCACGCGGTAAACCCGGTGTTTGGTACTGTTTTTGTGGAGGACGCGGCGTCTTCTGCCCCCCTGTTGCAAATGCTCATGGTGATGACGGAGCCACACAATATCCCGCTGCTTTGGTGTTGTTTTGTGGTGCGGTAATCGGCCGTGGGGAGGGTGTTATCATAAGTATCAACCAGTATGTTTCATCAAAGACGAGGGCTAAACGCCAGAAAATCGGTGTGTAGGCATATACGACGAGGGTGTTCCCAGCCCAGCAAAGCGGTACACTAGAGGAATGGAGAGATGCGTTTTGAGCGCGCTTTCCGGGACGCTGATTGGCCCACTAAGTAAGCCCTGTGCCGTATTTCTGGGAGCAACCGGACCCCGGGGGGTGGCGATGATTACATGCACCTTCTGTACATCGAATGGAGACCACGCAGGGTTGGCAAGTTACCGGTTTGGTAAATGGGAACGCTTCCTGGGGCCTATGGCCGTGCCCCACCATTTGTACGACACGCCGGTTCCGGGTTCCCTTGTCGACAACGGCGAATATTGTTGCCAAATGTGTGTGCTTACACACGCCTTTCCTGGTCCGAAAGGCAAACGCGCGTGGGCCCAAAGACACAGACCCGACAACGCGCACTCCCGTGAGAGTATCCATACTCTGACTGTGAAGACAACACCGACAACAACAACCAACGGATACATCTGAGGATACCGAGTGGAGACGGAACAATGCAAGCCCCACGCGCACGCCCGCGAGACTCTCCATACTCTGACTGTGAAGACAACACCCACAGTACAACCAACTGATATTATCGAAGGCCGAATGAGCGATTTTTATTGTGGAGACAACAATATTTGTCCAGTCACGGCGGTTCATGTGTTCATGTCATAATTTTCGGAAGAAATGGAGTTGGTCAGAAATTGAGCCAACATCAAGGCGAACAAAAAGGCATAGACTAGTTTGGTGTGTTGTTGATGTAATCGGTGTGGAGTGAATGCGAGTGCGGCATCGTAACTCGCTTCGCTCGAAGGCACTTAACGGGATTTCGGGTGTGGTGCAGTGTGCGGTCCCAGTGCCGGTCGACTCGCTTCGCTCGAAGGCACTTCACAGGATTTCGGGCGTGGTGCAGTGTGCGGTCTCAGTGCGGGTCGACTCGCTTCGCTCGAAGGCACTTCACGGGATTTCGGGCGTGGTGCAGTGTGCGGTCCCAGTGCGGGTCGACTCGCTTCGTTTGCAGGCACTTGACGGGGTTTCGGGCGTGTTGCAGTTTGCGGCCCCGGTGCGGTCGACTCGCTTCGCTCGAAGGCACTTAACGGGATTTCGGGCGTGGTGCAATGTGCGGTCCCAGTGCGGGTCGACTCGCTTCGCTCGAAGGCACTTAACGGGGTTTCGGGCGTGGTGCAGTGTGCGGTCACAGTGCCGTGTGACTTGCTTTGCACGAAGGCACTCAACGGGGTTGCGGGCGTGGTGCAATGTGCGGCCACAGTGCAGGTCGACTCGCTTCGCTTGCAGGCACTTGACGGGATTTCGGGCGTGTTGCAGTGTGCGGCCGCGGTGCGGTCGACTCGCTTCGCTCGAAGGCACTTAACGGGATTTCGGGCGTGGTGCAATGTGCGGTCCCAGTGCGGGTCGACTCGCTTCGCTCGAAGGCACTTAACGGGGTTTCAGGCGTGGTGCAGTGTGCGGTCACAGTGCCGTGTGACTTGCTTTGCACGAAGGCACTCAACGGGGTTGCGGGCGTGGTGCAATGTGCGGCCACAGTGCGGATATACCTGCATGTACCCAAAAGGCAGTTCATGCGCAGGCAATGTGATGTCCCCCCCTCTCGAGGAAATCGCTTTGTGCACTGGTTGTTGTACCTCTCTTCGCTCGTAGACACTTGGCTCTATGGGACAAGAAGATTATTAATCGTTCGAACGCTCAGCAAGTGCATACTCCCCCTCGATACGCCTTGCCCCACCCGAACCGTTGTACAGTACTCCAGGCCACCCCCCCGTCCACTCGCCTGGGGCATTGTACGTCTGTCTTTCATCCCACAGAGTAGCGAACGCAACTAACTCCCCCCTCACGTCATCCGTAACTGTCGCCGGTGCTTTTTGTCGCATGTCGGCGAGAGCGTTGATGGCATCAATGGGCGGTTGGAAAGCCTCCTGTAGGAACTCCCTCGCTAACTCTCTGACCTGCAAGACATCGTCTGGCAACACGAGGAATAGGCCGCCGAGAGTTTTCCCCCTGGAGACGGCTGTGTATACCCCTGCCCCTGGGCGAAGAACCCTCTACAGTAGAAGGAATCCACACGTGCCACCCTTTCGAACCCTACCCCTTGCAGTCTGTGAACGGTCATATAAACAGCGACCATGAAAGGCCACTGCTTATAATGAACGATGTAGGCGCCGCTGACCGCTACGACCCCCCTACAGCAGTAGGGCACCCATACGCTTTTTGTCCTCGGAAGAGGGCTGTATTTTGAAGGTGTTGTCCTTCCCCTTGCCCGTCGTAAGCTCAACCTCGACCCACGCCGGGCGTTTCCAGCATAAGAGGAAGGCGCTCTTGCAGGCTAAGTGATACGGTAGAGGAATCGTAGCGGTAATCACCGAAGATATCACCGAGCAAGGTCTCCGGGTTGACGGAGGGCTGCGGTATAGAGCTCACGGCATCAAGAAGAGGAGAAGAGTAGAAAGCAAGCTCATCATGCCGAAGGGTTGCAAGAAGAGGAACAGCAAAATACCCGAGCAGCGATACATAAAGTCGGCTACGCACTAGCGTCGGCGGCAGCAGGGAGCGGCCGGGCAGGAGTAGAGGAGTGTTGCCTGCTGGGGAGAAGGCACTGCTGCTGTGGTGGTGTGGTCCAGCAGACCGTTTGAATTTGGAACACCCCTCCCCCCCCCCTACGCATGAAGAATATGTAAAAGGCGGGTATGCCTGGTTTCGGTGCCCCCGCAGCAGTTTGATTAGAGAGACAGAGAGAGAGCCATACACACACGCACACAGAGCGAGACGTACGTGCAGCAACTGCACTTGCCGTAGGTTATGTGTACACCTATCTATCATGTGTGGTTATACCTATCCATGCACCTATCCATGTACACGCTTAGAGGAGAGGGTTGACATTTGGACAACAGGTGGTACTTACTACTGCTGTTGAGCTGCTACGCTATACCATGTTGGCTGCTGGCAGTGCGTGGATCCATTAATCCGTTCCATGCTGGAGGTGACGTAGGAAGCGTCAGTGGTGCATGACACCAGTAGTAATAGCCATGCAGGCGAGCAGGCTGGTGGCTATTGTGGTATGCATAGCAAAGACTGTTTGTCTGTTGCTGCTGCTGTGTTGCCTGCTGCTGCTTGCTGCTGAAGTGTTGTACAGACTCTGAGGCGTTTTGGTTTCCGGGGACGCACCTCCCGCAGCCCAGGTCACAAAGAAGCGACATATATGTCCGTAGGTGTTGCCGCCCCCCCCCCCCCCCCCTTGGATTGGAAAAATTTTACTGGGGGGGAAAAAGGAACAAACCAAAAACACTTGGAAAAATACGGGAAATTTAAAAAAAGGATAGGGAAGAAGACGTACTTGGAAGGGCCCATGGACTACGCGAAAAAACTGAAATTGCAATTTCGAGTAGGCGATCTGGACTTGCCAGAACGGAGGAAGAGGTATACCAGCCGTAGGAGAGAGGAAGAGGAGGATAGACACACATGTCCATGTGGCAAATCGGAGGAGAGTAGACCCCACATAGTTGGGGAGTGTGAGTTGTACAGGAAGGAAAGAGAGGATCTCGAGGAGGAAATGAGACAGAGAGGGTGTGACATGGACAAGTTTGGTAAATTAGACAACAGCGAAAAAACGATCGCGATAATTGGGGATAGATGGTGGGCACAAGAGGCCCTAGAGGACGGGGATAAGATGTGCAAGAAATTTTTTATGTAGTTTGTGGCAGAAACGTAAAGAGCTCCCAAATGTTGGTGGTGTCTCTAGTAGGGGTAGGAACGGCGCTCCGTCTCGAAAGGGACGCGTGGTCAATGGTCAAATGACTACGGCAAGCAACAAATGAGTACGCCCCCCCCTGCTTGAAGGTTTTTCAAGTCCGGGGTATGCAGTTGTGCCGTGCCCCAGCAGCAGTTTGGTTCAGTCGAGCAAGTCCGAGTCGAGAGTCGAGAGACACAGCGCGAGTTCGAGCAGAACTAGAGACAGAGAGAGATACGTGCAGGAAGTGCTGTGATGACGTTGCCGTACGCTATGTGTGCGTCTATGATGTGTGTTGCGCCTGTCCATTTACACACTTGGAGGAGAGGGTAGATCCACGCTGCTCTGTGGTTCCTAACCCAAGCACACAGCCATCACACACACAGAGCTAGCTGCTACGAACCTACAGTACACTGACTGCTTGGTGGCTTGCAGTCCGTTCCGTGCTAGCTCATGGCAGTAGCAACCGTCTGTGTTGCAGCAGTAGTAGCCTGCAGCCGAGCAGCCTGGCAGCAGCCTGGCGGCTGTTGTGTATGTATGATGGCTGCTGTTAGCTTGTTGTTGTGTCAGCTCTGGTGTGTTTGCTGCTCCTGCTGATGTGTTGTACAGGCGTTTTGATTTCCGGGGACGCACCTCCCGCAGCCCAGTTCACAAAGAAGCGACATATGTGTCCGTAGGTGTTGCCCCCCCCCCCCCCCCCCCCTTGGATTGAAGAATTTATACTGAGGGGTATGCAGGGGCTCCGTCCCATGTGCGGTGTGACTGCTGCTGCTACAAGAGCAGTACCTACATGACCGTCCCACAGCAGTGCCATGGTACACACAGGGAGAGATTCACACGCACAGCTTCTGTCTGTCACAGCAGTGCCATGGTACACACAGCGAGAGGTTCACACACACAGCTTCTGTGCGTACAAAGGCGTGCACCAGCAGCACCAGCACCAGCACCAGCAGTAGTAACACACTTGATAGAGCCTCCTCTGGTGCTGTTGCTGCTTTGCGATGGAGCCCCTTGTACGCTAGATGTAAATCTACTTACTGCTGCTGTTGATGGAGGCTCCTCTGCTGCTTTCATTGAGTAGCCATGGAAAGCTGGGTGACAGCAGGGGCTGTTGTCTGCTGGGACAAAGCAGTAACTACTATAACGGACCCCCCCCCCGTGGTTTGCTTGGTTCACCTCACGCGTGGTTTGCTTGGTCCACCCAAAGGGTGCCGGGGGGGGGGGGAATTGTGCC